ACAATTTTTTTCTCTTGTAATTTGTGAATGAAATTTTGGCGAATTTTTGAGATTAAAAAAATTAAACCAATAATCCAAAACAACAATAACAGGAAAAAAGTAGACACGAACAAGAGAGAAGAGTAAACCAGGAGTGGGTGGGGATGGGGAGGGGGAGGGTTGTGGATGCACACAGAAAGGAAACCCAAGGAAGAAAGAAAAGGACCGAAAAGACACGCACGTAAAGTGATTAATGGACTCTCCACCGTCGAGAGCACTGGGAGATCGGTCCGGGGCAGGAGGGGGAGAAGAGAGAAAGAGAGAAGGTGGGGTGGGATAAGATCTCCGATGGAATTCTCTGGGCTTTTATATTGGATTTCTTTTAAATTCGTTACTTTATCCGGCACTATGTTAATAGCAGAGCCGATATGAGAGCTCGCGGTTAAGAGCGGTTCATTTATCATTCGCGTTTACTTTACCCAGCGTAGTCCTTCCTCTTCTCCTCCGCTGCTGGATATACGGAGACTTTGACTTGACTTCTTTTCTCATTTTGTTTTTTTTTTTCGTCGAGTTCTTCAGTCCTTTGCCTCTCATTTTCGTGGGGAATACGGAGTTTCAGGTTTGCGGGGAGGTATGAGAATATGAAAATCTCGCCTGAGTGATCGATCGTTGGAAAGAAAAAAAAAATCGTTTTTATATCGTTTTTGGGCCCACTCCTGGCCAGGGAATGATCTTGGAGGAGAATTTTTTAATTTGTAACACCTCTGACGTGATTTTTAATGAATTACGGCGCGCGCATGCGCGTATCACCTCCTTGCGTGCGCAGGTACTCCAAAAATGAAACATTTCATCTAAACCGAAAAAGGACATTAATGAGTTCATTAAAACTCCTCGGACACACAATCTGATCACCCTAATGCTTGCGCATGCGCGTACCACTTCGTTGCGCGCGCAGTGACTCGTTCTTGTGTCTCTTAATCCAGATTGAAAATATGTAAATACATCCCAGAGTCCAGAAGGGGGTCCGGTTATCTTTTCCCTCGCTAACTCTTTATTTCTCTCCCTCCCAAGGGGCCCAGATGGCCATTCTGTATTCCCCGTTGAAAAAGTATTTTAATAGAAACGATTCATCATTCCTACGGCCTCCGTTGCGACTCATTTTCAGACGATTCTCCTTTCCTCATCCTCCACAACTTTTGTTCTACAAACTGTCAATTTATCTGTGCTACTCATCTTCATATTTTCAGAATTTTTCCAAATTTCAACTCGACTAGATCAATCTCTCGTCATCAGCCTTCCCAAAAATTAACAACTACAATTCCCCATGAATTAACTGAATACAAAACCGATAATCGAATTATCCCCCATAAAATTATGAAAATTACCCGACATAAAATTAATTCAATAACCAAAGAATCAATAACGACAAACAATGGCCCCGAAAAAAATTGAACGAATCGCCTGGCGTTCGTCATAAACGAGATTTCAAAAATCCGTTATTCAAATAAGGATTCCCCTCTCCCCATCGGTTAAAAAAAAAAAAAAATCGTAAAAAGTGGGTCTGAATAATTTTATAAAATTAATAGTAAAAAGGGTACGTACGTCCGGACGTCTATTATGCGCATATGCAAATAGATTTGAGGGTTGGAGTTTTATGGAGAAAATAATAATACGAAAAAATAAACGGGGGGGGGAATGAGTGTGAGTGAGATGGACAAATGCAGAACAGAACAGGATAGAAGGGTGGGGAAGCCGAAGGATGACGAGGAGAGGACCCCTTCTGCAGCCTGCGGGGCATTAAAACTTCTGAGATTTATAGTGGCTTGCATATTATAGTGGCTTGCGGTCTCGTCCAGTCCACTCTCCGTCCTCTTTTATTCAATATGTTTTTTTTTTTTTTTGGGGCGGTTTTCAGGGTTTTATACGCATGCGAGACAATTCGAAAACTTGAAATTGCAATTTTTTTTTTTCGCCGCCAGGGAGGGATTTAAATGCCGTAAATTGGCCTTCGGCGGAGCAATTAGCGGAGTGTCGTAAGTGTTACGATTAGATGTGCTTAGTGTTCTCGGGTGAATTTTGAGATGTGGGGAATAATCTCTTGGGCAATTGCAATTATCACGTTTTGAGAATAGCCAATTGGAATTTTTTAACCGCCAGCTGTCGATCTCCGGATATACGACCTTTTTCCATGAATACATTTATTATTAATTCATTGATTTTTATTCGCAAAATCCCAATTTCCATATTAGTGTAAATTTAATACGTCAAACCACTGGGCGACAGGGAAAATTAAATGGCGAAATCGATAAAGCAATTTACAAAAATTGATACAATATTTTAAACCGAATATCGAATGCGATTTTTATCGCATGCAAACTGGGACAAAATGTAGATCCGATATGATATGCATAAAAAGGGGGGAGGGGGCTGTAGTCGGGAACGAATTCGTAAGCGGATAATGAATGGAAACGAGGGAAAAAGATCAACGTGACGGAGGGAATATGAATGGAGCGACTTTTTTTTTTATCTCCGAGTTTTTATTTTTAAGAGAGGGGTGGCGGATTAATGGGAAAGCTGTTGGGTGCACCCTCTCCGGGGGCGATCATTGTTTAGCGTTTTTGTTTGAATATGAAAATTGGAATAGTTTGTTAGAGTTGCGGATGAATTGGAATTTTTTTTTTTTTTCCGGGGATTGGGGATAATTTTTCGGTTGGTGTTCCCTCGTTAATACGTTTTAGCGAGTTTCGTGAAACCAGACTCCTCAATAGCCTCTTTTCAATGGCTCTCTTTCTCGAGAGAAGAAACTTATTCGTAATCGTATATCCAGGTCTAAATAGTCAGTGTTACGCTAAGTAGACCTAACCAGATTAGTGAGTCGTTTACGTGCTCTATTTTTGACGCCTCGTGCCGGTTGAAATGAGTTTTTAACCGAACGAGTGTGCAATAAATATCTTTTGGAAATTTTTGCTAATCCCTCGGTCGCGGGTAAATCCCTTGAATAATGAGTGAGAAATGCCTTGTGAATTATTCCATTATTATTTCCATTTTTTTTTTATTCGCGACAACGCGACTTGGCATTACGAAATTTTGGGCAATTCCCCTGATCGTGAGAAAATGACAAAAATTCTTCAAGAAGATTCGAAAAAAAGCGAGTCATGGCCCCTCTCGACGCTCCTCAAACACTCGACCATAATGTTGCCAGTCTCATCCTCTCATTTCCCTCTACAAATTTTTTTCCTCTCATTTTCTCCATCTCTTTTTTTTCAGTACTGTACATATTCGTAACGTTTTACTGACTTAACCCATCAGAAACGGTTTTTCAAGAGGTTTTGCTGGGCCTTCTGGAGTGCCTGGAAACACATCGCGGGGAAGAGATTATTCAAATTCGTCCGGCTTAAAATATATTATTTATCGGAACGCAGAGCCCCAGCCTTTCTTCCACCTTCATTCCTCCCTCCCTTTTTTTTTATTTTTTATTCTGTCCATCTTTTATACCAGGAATTGGCATTTCGTTTTAAGATACGAGTTGTCGAGTGTTTTCGGAAGTCGAGCCCGGGAAGAATAAAACTATTCAATTGAAAAATTTTATTTATTCATTCTCATTCAACAGGGATGAATGGAAAATCTACGACAAATAAACCGACACCGTTGGATAACTCCGCGAGATAGTGGGTAACTCGATATCCTGAGATTAAAGAATGAAAAACTCAGATTTCTGAGAAATGGTTGAAGTCATAATATTCGTAATTTCAGGCGGACATGTTTTTTTTTCCTTTCCGTTGTATTCGCCGGAATTATTACACTGGTTTTCTGTCGGGACATGCGAGTGCGACCGGTGGAAATGATAAGGACTGGGGCAAACAACGAGTTGGGCGCAAAAATGTCGAGTATTAAAAAGTCGTAAAAGAAAATTCAAGACTTAATCGGGGTTATCTCGAAAACGCGTGGTCCCACCTGAAAACCACATGAACATTTTTTGTAGCTCATGAAATGTTTTACAAAAAATTCCCTTTCCGTTTTTATCTGAGGTCGATAATTATCGAGATCTGTCATCGATTAGAGTAACGATTGAAAATCACTGAATACGCAGTCTCGCGAATTCGGTGAATATCGGGGGAATAGCTGGAGTTGGGGGAAAATTCAAGAGGACTTTTTTTTAGATTATGAGATTCTCCGCGAAAAGTTCAGATACCTTTATTCCCAAAAACTCATAATTATCGAGATAATTGGAAAATCAATAGTTCAAACCACTCGCAATGGAAAAAATAAAAACTGCCATTGTCTCAGTAAATCCTCGGAATAATTTTTCCATCTCTCTCTCACTGTGTTACGCATTCACGAGTACATGCACCTATTCACTAATGTATTCAAGGTCCGCCCCATAAACCCAATGGTGGGGATTGAAACGGGGCGGCCCCCACGACTCCGCGGCAACAACTCCGTAGGTACTGTAACAGATGTTAATTATCCCTTCTGTATAGTCGAATCAGAGAGTTCGCGTTTTACTTTCTCATAAAGAACAAAAAAAAAGAAATAATAAGAATGAGTGAAAAAAAAAAGAATTGTACACGAGGAGAGAGAAAAATTTATTTCCTTGATTCCGTTCTGCTTTCGTACACTCGACGATCAGATAACGTCATCCAACCGTCGAAGACAATGTACTTACCTCTCATAAAAAAAAATCCGAGTGCAATGGAAATCCATGAAATCACAATAATTCCCCGCTGGTGAACGAATTTTTTCAGTGGGAGGGACAGCGAAACGAGCGTTAAAATTTATCGTTATTATTATTTCATCACAACGCACAGATTACCTCGACATTCCAAATTCATCAATGACAAATCACGTTTGAAATACAAATTCGATACTAATTTCTCATTATCCAGTCACGAATAAGTATCGATGATGTCATTCGAACGAACTCCGATCGTATTGTGAAACGCTGTCATGTTCATCATAATTCAAATTGAGTTGTAGTCGATGGTGCGGTTTAAAAAATAATCATTATTTTATAATTCCAGGATGCGCTGAAGCAGCTCCTCACGCATCATCCCCGAGATGTCAGCTGTAACTAGTCCGTATGGCCCCAGTAAGTCCCATTAAATCAGTAACAAGAGGTGGAATGGTTTGAGCTTCATAAATCCGTGATTATCTCGAGAACGAGTGAAGTAAGAGGAAAACCCCGGAGGGCTTTTTTGTAGGGCATAAAAATCTGAAGGAAAAAGTTCTCATGTTGTCCCAATGTAGCAGCACTTGGCATCGAGATTTTTCAAAAAGTATGCAAGTGTTCCGATTTCTCCCTAGTTCGAACCATTTCACCACTGCTACCGATAAAAATAACCAAATAATCACCTGCTCAATTCAATTATCAGCGGATATGCTGTCCGACTCGGTCTACAACTACGCCACCTCCCGTCGGAGTACAACAGGGGATCAGGACAGCAGTGACTCGCAATTTGAGACCCCGAGCCATCAATTGCACGATCAATTGTCAAGTATGCAGAAACCCAGGAACAAGCGCAAAAATTTCAAGCCAATTAGCAGTAGAATGGCTGAAGTATCGGATGATGAGTCTGAGAGAGACGAGCAGGAGGATGACTCTGAGACAATTGATGAGACTAATTCAAATGACATTGTTGAATATGAACGGAAAACTCTGTTGAGTTCCAGTAACGATAGACCAAAACAGAGACTTAACAATAATGAGGCTAGTCCGATGGATCTGTCAGTTGCCACGAGGCCTCCCTCCTCAGATGGTGATGAGGACAGCAGTGATTCGTTGAGACACAAGTTCAGTCTTGAGCACCTCACGTCCCAGAAGCTTTATTCACTTGGTGCCGAGGTAATTCAAGACTTCCACCAATTTATTGATTATTTTTTCCTCCATCATTTAATATTAAAATCAACAGGATTCTGGGGGATGACTGGAAATGCGTCAGTCAAAGTTCCACGAATGAATTTAATAATAATTAATTTTTGTTCGGTTGTTGTCTTGTATAACGATGCTTTCGCGAAATGACCAGGAATTAATCAGTCTCCTTCTTTCCTCATTAGGCGAGAAGTCCGGCGTCCGAGTCGTCCGAAAAAAGTGACTTGGATCAAGAGGCAAGTAGACTAGAAGACGATCATCAATTCGACGACGATCGTATACAAGAGACTGAGCCCGAAACAGACATTGAAGAGCGCAAACCAATGGAAAGTATGAGTGAATACCTCGAATCAACGGTCCAGGAATTCCTCGCTTTCTACGGTTTTGCTGGTGGTGAAATGACAAAATCATCGAGTAGACAGATTCCATCGACATTTCTCAATCCACATACCGGTCAAATTCAATTCAATCCAAATCCAAATCAGAGTAATTCCGGCAATTGTCAACAGGAGGAACAGCAGGTGCATCATGGTAAGTCTTGACAAATTGTTTGACAATTTTTATTACTGATGAGCCATCAATCGTGGTGGATGATGAATGATATGAATGCCTCTTTGACACGATTCGATGTCTCACTTTTCTCTCGAGGCCAACAGACGCCGTCGAACGTTTCAATACACTTACGCGATATTATTGTGGGCGGAATTTGCCGATGTGATCCAAAAAAGATGGCAAACAAAATGGTTTAACGGTGGCGTCGACGAGCGGTTAGAAATTTCGATACGTGCGTAGGAAGTTCCGGTAAAATTTCAGTCCCGCGGTCCGATTTATAATTTTTAGGGGAGGAGATTGACATTTTTTTATAAAATCAATCAATCAATTATTTCTTTCCTCTAATAGTTGTTTCGTTATGAATTCACCTCACAGGTGTTTCCAAACCACTCCTAGAAGTCGGAAATACACGAGCATTAATTTTTTCCACCCCCGGATTCATCACCGCGGGTTTCCAATTCAAAATTTCCTCATCGATCAACTGAATCGACTCCACCAAAGAAATCCATTAGCCAATGCTCATTTTTAGTATCGACTGTACGACCCAAGGCAGAAAAGGCGAATGATGCCACATACGTATTGCCAAGCTCCTCATATGTGCACACGTTTGAATATGTGATGGCAAAGAGGCAAGATGGCCGACTTATAAGTCATAAACATCTACCACCGGTGCCCAAGGGGGTTTCCTCTCATTTTACTATAACCCAAGCGCCTCATATACCTCATCCAGTCTCTAAACGATCGATGAATGCCTTCGAGTTTCTTCCATCCCGTGGAATTCAGGCCTAACGAATCGCCACTAGTTTCTCTTACCCTGAAAATTCCACTCGTGTAAATAAATAAAGCCTCTCGCAAAAAAAAAAAAAAACCGCCCACAGTACATCATGAATTGAATAGTTGTCTCTTCCCATCATCTCCGGAGTGACTCGTTCATTCGTCGTGACGCAATTCCTCTATTAAGTCCATAATCCGATTCTGACGAGAATCGACGTCTATCTCAGAATTAACTCTTCGCAAATTTTTGGTAATTGTCGCGGGTACTGGGGGCTTCAGGAGGAAATTCCAGGGGAATTCTCGGAATAATTTCTTGGAAATTCAATAAATTCAGACAGACAAATCAACAGGTTGTCAGCAACCTCCTCTCATCGACATTAACCCAAAGCTGAGGCATTAATGCAGACGCATCAACAGGTGGCCCAAGTGTTTCTGTCGCCCATAGGCAAAAATAAAATGAGGAAAATAAAGCGAGAGGAGAGGAATCCGGGGTATTGAATAAAGGGTACATAACTACTGCTGTCATTCCGCGAATATTCAAACGAATAGAGGTTTTAGTTGAATGTTGTCTTCACTGGAACCTCATTGTCCCGCATCTCCAGTTTCAACGTTGGCGTACAACAGAAACTGGAGAGACATAAAAGAACAGATCTACCCGTACTTTCTTCATACTCTACTCTCCTCTTCTGCTCTGGTATTTATTTAATGCTTTTACCACGTGTTCACAAAATAGTAAAGTAAAGCCTTTATTATTATCTATTATACATATTTTTCTGAGAATTCATTAATTATTTCAAGTTATTTATCGTAGATTTACGTTGCAAAAAACTAATTGGCAATTGGGTTAGCTCTCACCAAAAACATCATACCGCGAATATCATCGGATTATCGTGCTATCTGTTTCTGATAAAATGAACAAATTGACTGTGGCATAAAATCCCAACGCGTCTAATCATCCCATCCACCTGATTATCCCTCCCAGAATAATTCCGTCTTTCAAGTATCACTTGAAGCAACAACTTACGCGAATAACCGACAAAATAGTTCAGCGAAATGAATTTTATTGAAACGAGTTTTATGAATCGTTTTACGATCATACCCGACTGACTGGAGCCTGCTGCACACGTGCTGCACAGACTCGGTGATAAAATATTCGAACGTTCATATCGCTGGAGTAACAACAATTTTCGCCATTTCCGAAGAGGTGGTTGAAACGGAGGAATAAAAATATCCAGAGAGGAGAAAAAAAAAATATATTCAAACTAAAAGCACATGAGAGCAATGAAAAAAAATATTTGACTCGGGCGAAGTGAGACTGACATAAAAGAGAAATGAGTATTTCACCTCGTCCTTTCAGTTCTTCAGACCCATTTTGCCCTTTATATATCCTCACAAGCAGAAATGGAAGAATGATTAATGGGTCCAACTCGAGGCGGTATTTTCTCGTTTTCTGGTGCTTGAGATCTTCAATGATCTTCAAGTCAAATTCCTAGTTCTTCTTTTTTTTTTTGAGGTATTCTTTTTCGGTTATTTGTTGATTCAACGCGATTGGTGATGGATTCTGGGTGGGACTGATTGGGTACATCGATACGTGTCAAGATTCGTGATTATTCATTGGGAGAGGAAGTGAGGTGTGTGAGCAAGAAATCCGTGGGATTCTGTGTCGACGATTCATCATTTTCACTGGTTGAAAATCAGGGAAATTTGAGGCTGAATACAATCTGACACTCGAAATATCGAGTCATTTCCAATTCACCGAGAGAAATTTTTTCAATTTATTAAGTCTCGATAGAAATTGCAGCAATAATTTTTCGAGTTTACAGTTTTCAGCACAATTTGCATGATTTGAATACCGATTCGAATAGAACCGGATCGATCTTATCGGAATTCGATCCGGAGGTTGTCTTCCGGGTCAATTCACTCTATCCAATCGATTTAAAATCCTCCAGTCCAGTTCCATACGCGTTGGTGTGGGAATTCCACTTTTTTGTGGAATTACTCTGGCTTCTGGGTTAACGACGGCCGATTCTCCCTCTTCATTCGCCTCTGTCTCTTCATTGCCTCCCTTTTTTTCTTCTACCTCCGCAGAGCCCTTTTTTCTCTCTCTTTTTGGTCGAAGAGTGGAACTACCCGGGGCATCTTGTTTATTTTACCCGTCAGCGAGCTGACACTCGGACATTCGTTTAAATTTAGAATTCAATGGGATCCTTTTAAACCGTAGAACGTACGCTTTTCGATGGTTGTGCCCCGTGTTCCCTGGTTTTTCCAGGTTTACCTTGCGAAAAATCATTGAAGTACTATTTTTTTAACGTTTATTGAGGCCATTTTGATGGATTATGTCGACATTTATTCGTTTACCTTCGGAATTTCTCGCTTTATTCATTTTCTCATCTTTTCATCTTTGCAATCGAGTCCTCGAACTCTGTTTGAACAGTGAGAAGCAAAAGTCAGCAATAACAGTTGGTAATTGGTCAAGATGGGTTGAGAATTTTATATGAACAACCGCGGATAGGTTTTATGATTACCGGTTGTCTTCTCTACCTGTCAATCTTTGCATTTCACTTTGACGCGAGGTATTTATTTCTGCTATCCATTCGTTTTGCGGGAAATCTGCCGACAAGTTGTCAAATATTTACGGGATTTTTCTCAGAGAAAATCCCACTGAATTATTTCAATTGCCCAGAAGCAATTGCTCAAAATCGTTAACATCATTAACGATCCCCAGAAAATATTTGATTAACAAAAAAAAATTCACTGGGTTGAATTTTTTGGGGGTCATTAAAGCGATAATTAATCGAAGAATTCTCAGTCTCTGGGGGGAAGTCTTCAAACCCGAAATACTGAAAAAAAAATCTCGTATGGTCCTAGGAATTCTCACTGATGGATTGGTCATCCGTGATTAATTTGACAAGCTGACTTTCTGGTTTTCGGTGAAGTATCGAATCTACAGAATTGGAGAGACTGACAAGGCCCTCGAGGCACTGCCCCCACCCCTCAAATGTCCTTAATGGGCCCCAGCTCCTGTGATTCATCCAGTCGAGCCCAAAAAATTGAAAAACCACTTGAATCTCAATTAAATCTTGTCTCAAAAATCTGATTAAATCCCCAGACACTCCCAAATATTTCCCCCACATCCCAAATTTTTTTCCGAATTTTTCCGACTCGAAAAATTGAAAAAAAAAATCAACTTGACCCGCGATTTCTTCTGCACCCCTAAATATTCACACCAATAAATTAATTTAAATTTCTCCTGATGGGATAAAAATTCTTTTAGAGTCGATACGGGGGATGATAATTATTAGGACAAATTTTTCTTTGTGGAGCGACTCCTGGGGACTCAGAAAATTCACAAAACGAGAACTGAAGATGTGGAATCCGCTGGGACAGGGGGTAGAGTTAGTTAAAGGATTCGTGGCGCGAGCCGATCATCCAAAAAGACTTCCATACAAACTGGTTTTCACCATAGATTTTTTTATTTATTTCATACACTGCGCATGTACCGAGGACTCTCCCGTTTTTATTTCTGCTCCATCTCACCCGCATCGGGGCGAGGAAACCCCTCGAGGTACAGCCACGCGGCATAAGCCCATCTCACTCTCCACTATTTTTATTTTCTTTGTTTCTTCGGGGACAAAACATCAAACTCTGACTCATCTCCCCGTGGAAATTTCAGACGAGGATTAATGCTCTTTATTGAAGAGATGAATGCGAAGAGGGAAATTAAAATTGGGGCCATGTGGTGACTAATTTTTTTTATGAAATTCAATTTATACCCCAGTAGAAGATTGGAAATTATACTTTTGGAATTTTACTCCTTGACATCAAGAAATTCCTTAATTGGTATTTAATTATCCTAAACTATTCCTCGAAATTCGATTCAGTTCTCCCAATTCCCTCAATTCTCCGTCTTCGATTTACTCTCCAAATAATTCCAGTGAATTTAATTTCCTCCGGAATATCCCGCGTCCCGCGAAAATTTGAATATTAAAATTAGCCTGGCATCGGGGACTGTACGTGTACGTTCTCCCCGGATGAAAAAAAGTGTAAAAAAAATTCACCTTTTGTAAAGCGGTTCCACCCTCGCTGGTCTGCGCTCTTCGCTGCCCACTTCTTGGGAAGACCCTCGGTACGATCATGAGATGCGATAACACTTTAGCGACCACCAGAGAGAGAGGGCGAGGTAGAGATAAGTGTATATACACTCG